ATTTGATGCACCTTAATTTAATTGGATTCTGCAATATCTGAGCAATCCATAATCATATAGAAAGCTAATAATGCTTGAGATTTTTTTCGCCTTTTTCGCCCTATGGTTTGATTTCATGCTTAATTTGGCTTAACTTTCCTTGTTTTTCAAAGAATTCATCTGAACCAAGAAGGCCTTCAAAACAAATATATATAGTAATAGAAACACCATGATTCAATCCATCTATATTTCATTTGAGTTTTTTTACAAGAAAATATTAAGGCAGGTCATTGTTTGGTTTCTTTCCATTGTTCCCATGAAGGAAGTTATACAGATCTTCCAAGCTTTCACATGTCTCGATGTGGTCGATCAATTGGTCGTTATCATCAAAAACATGATTAGCTCCATAAGTGAAATCGATGTCGTTCATTTCTGTTGGAAATGCGGCATCGAATGATGACAACTGCTGCATAAAGCTTTCAAGATTTTCAATTGCAGCAGAATCATCAGTAGGCACAGGAAGATCTAACTCTCTGACCTGTGTAGAATTAGGCATAGCCATCTCCAAATTAGATGGGAGAACAGAGCCGGTTTCCTCTATAGCAGCCTCACTAACTAGGCTTTCAATTTTCCTTTTCAACACTTTGTGAGGCAGCTTAAGAGGTGTTGAAAGGTGTGAAGTGCTGTTCTCCCCTTTCTGAAGATGGTTAGTAGTGGTAAGGTGGAGCTCTTGCTCCATTTTACCTTCTTCTAGTTGAGTGTTTTGATCTAGATCCACATTCGACCGACCTTCGCCATTGTGGACTTGCAGCTCCTGAAAAATTATGAAAAACTAATTAACAATATGTTTTTTACAATTCATTAAAGAAGAAGAAAGAACTCATTGTTGCTTACTTGATTCATGGGAACAACATCTTCCTTCAAACTTTTCCCTTTCGTAGGGTATTCCTCCCTCAATATGAATCTCGCTATCTCAAGGATGGACCGAAAAAATCCACCAGATGCCTCGTGGTAATAGTACTGCACAAAATACATTGTCATCTTATAGATTAAACTAAGCAATTTTAAATGGAGTGACTTTAGAGTTAGGTTGCATTTGAGATTGCTATTTAATGTTGTGATTGTAATTTTTTCTGTATTTTACATTTGTAGAATGAAAATAATATAGTTATAATATTATATGATATTGTAAGTTTAATCAAGACACATTATTATATGATTGACTCTTTTTATCCACGAATATACTATGATATTATATATATATCAATTTATTTAATGACGTATCATAATTATAAATTTATAATTTATTTAATATTATAACTAATCATTAAGTTTGTAAAATTACTAATTATTTTAATAATATACCATGTGAATAAAAAATGTGAAAAGGCAATCACAAGCGCAATCTTAATTAATCATCAAGTAATTAACCAACATAAAATATTAGTCAAAATAGTTACTCAAATTACCGAATCATATCTTTTAGTAATTCTTTGCCTACGCTCAATGAGCCATCCATTTAGTCTCTGAGATAAAGTAAATCGATATGTCCCACTCCATTTCTGCAAAAATAAAAATCATATATAGATGGATGTGATCGTCACTACACCTTTTTAGCGAGGAAAACATAATCTTAATTATTTGGTTACTTAGAAGATGTTTTAATGAAAAGACGCTAATTATGTACTTACGGTTACAAAATTCTTGACCATTTGCATCACCGAATCAGGGATAGCACTGAAAGAAGCGCGTTCTCTGCCAACCAAACAGGCCTTGTTCCTTTGTTTCATCTGTGTCTGCAAATTTCCTTTCGCTTTCAGAATTGATTCCCTTAACTACAATGTAAAACCCATACATATGAATATTATGAACAGAAAAGTGAATTGTAGTTCGCCCTATGCAAGCGGCAAAACAACATTAATTCTCATTAGAATTTGACGTGAAAAATGTAACAGAATGAGAAAAACTAAGTATATTATAAATAAATGCTTCATTTGGATTAATATTGGTTTTTACCTCTAGACTTAATGCATTAAAATCACAGTTTTCAGGTACCGCAAAGTTTAATGGAGCAGGATTCAGCTCTTCATTTGACTCTTCGTCACCAGTTCCAGCTGCCTCTTCTTTTCCATCAACATTATCTTCTTCCTCACCATTTTGTTCTTGAGGCGCCGTCTCATCAACATCCTCTCTCTGCATTTTCTGCTCATTTCCCTCCATTTGCACATTTTTTGCACTACATCTCCCCATCAAAGTGGCAATTGCTTCCTATAATGGATAAAAAGACGCCAATGTTAGACAAAATTGCAAAAATAGTATTGTGTGCATCATGACTATTCAAACTCAAAAGGGTCGAGTAAGAACAATTACATTGATAGTAGGTTTTAATGCTTTAACTAGTATGCTATCTAGTGATTCTTCTTTTCCATCAGTATTCTTTATTGTTCGAGTTGAGGCCGAAGAAACGCCTGGGACATCAGACCTCGATGGAATTGGGTTGGAATTACCCGATATTTCTGATGTCCTTTTTTTTGATTTGGATGGACCAGGCGCTGGCTTCTCAGGCATCATTTGTTTTGATCTTGAACTACGGGCCGTATCAGACGTCGTAGATATTGATGGTAAGGGCCCAGCATTAACAGGCATGTTTGTTAGCCCACTGACTCTCATCTGCTCCTATTCAAACGAGATTGAAAACATCAAGCAAAGGAATAAAAAGAGAGAGAGAGAGAGAGAGAGAGATACAAGGCACTATTTTGTCTTTTTTTTTCTTTCTTTTTTTTTCTTTTTTTGAAATTGTGACTTAAAAATTCAAAGTTGAATATTTTCTTATTGATAAAAATCAAAATCATTTCTTGATAACTTTTTGGATTCCCACTAATTTAATTTGATGACAAACAAAACAATTTAGAATTATTTACAAATTCAAAATATTCTAATCAATCATTGTTGATGAGATTTTTTTATAAATCAAATGAATAGACCATCTCAAAATTTCTTCTAAATTAAGGTTTAAAAAATCAAAAAATTAAATTAAGATAACAAAAGTTGTAGGAGGTAATAACAAAATCACATGAGTTGATAATTAAAATAAAGGATTAACAATAATAACGAATAACGATAAATAACTAATAAATATAAAAAATAAGAAATTAATAAGGTAAAATATGATACACATTACCATATAAATAAATAATAACTATAACGATAAACAATTAACGGTCAACGAACAATGAGTTATGATTTATAGTAAAATGCTAAAAATCTATTATGAATATAAGTGAAAGAAATATCACTACCTGATCATTTCCAAAGATTGTATTTTTTGTACAATGCATAGGATTGACACCTTGTTGTGCCCTTTCGAAAATGTCATGACCTTGTTGTAATTGTGGCTGTAAGAACAGTTTAAGTGTAAATGCCATAAAAAATGTATACTAATTATAAAAATCACAAATCAAAAATAAAATTGAAATGGAAAGAGTTCGTATTCCTTTCAATTTTTTTCATCTTTAAACCGATTCTTTTACCCTCATTATTTTCTAATGAATAAAATTGTTAATTTTTTTTTTCATTGCATTGAAATATTTGGATTAAAGAATGTTAGTTCAAGAAAGAAAAATACCTCATGAAAGGCAGTGTAAGGGTCCTAAAAAAAAAAGAAGAAGAAAAGCATAAAGAGTTAGAATTTCTTCAAATAAGAGCTAGATCTATACAATTAGCACTTTTATAAAAGCTTTAAATTAAAAAAGTATTTAAACTTCTTAATGATTGAACTCTGTAAAATAAATTTAAAGCTTTAAAAATTATATTACCCTCTGTGCAGATATCCCATATGTAGAGGATGGATCTGAGCTACCAACAGGGTGGTAGTGATGTTGCCATTGATTAGGCATTGGTCCAGAGCTTCCTTGACTTGATGGTTGCTGCCATTGTGAGTGGGATTCAGTCACCACTGGTGGTGACTCTTCTTTCTTTTTATATGTGGTGTTCTCCTCATTGACTTCAT